ACGTTCACGCCTTACAGATTAGGGGAGCTAGTTCACTGTAATAGATCCAGCAGGACTCCACTCAGCTCCCCACCCCCGTTGTCCACCCATTCATCCCTAGTGAGCAGAAATGACAGCTCCATAGAAGACTCAGATTCTTTGCTGCATAGGCATCCCCTCCCTGCCAGAGCCACTTCATCCAAGTGACAGCCCCACCCCGGGCTCAGCTCCTGGCTAACAGCTGCTGACATGGTCCACAGGGCCAGCTTCTTTTCCAGAAGAACCTGTCATTATATCTGGGGGCACAGCAGTAAGTGTATTGTGCTGTGTTGTCCTGCCTAGCTCTCCCTACTTCCTTAGAAATGTATCTCATGAGAGAGCACGCAGTACACCTCTGCATGCCACCTTACCAACAGAGCAGACCTCTCCAAGGAACCCAGCATCTAATGCAGGAGGGGGGTGGCGCACATCAAGAACAATAGTACCTGCTGCTTTACTGTGTGTTTCCTCTTTCTTATGTTTCCAGCTCTAATAAACCATGATGCTAAGCTCTCATAGACTGAACTGCTTCCCCATTCTTACATTAAAGCCATAGTCTCCAATGTGATAGAACTGAACAGAGGCTACAGGTAACTTTATATAGATATCGGTGCCCTTCTATGAAGACATTGGGTCCACCATCTTTCTCTCCAGCATGTGGTGTGAGGAATCGGCCTCTGCCCGGCCAGCATCTCCAAGCCTTTCAGACTGTGAGGAAAACACTTCTATTGCCAAAGCCACTCACCCTAATTTGTTTTTGTTACAGCGCCCCCAAGTGACTAAGTTGCCAATTCTTACCAGGAAAGGGACCCAGTAGTAATTTAAGGTTGTTGGTCCCTCTACAATTTGTTGCAGTCTTTCTGTGAAGAGTAGGAAGGCCAAGATGCCTACATTGAAAAAGTGGAATATGGGTATCACACATTGAGAAAGTTTATCAATATTGTTGCAGAAAACAGTTTCCACTCAACAGCTCTGAACACATGTTGCTTTCACTACTCACCTACAATCCCGGAAACGAGAACTTTTCCCAGGAGTAAGACAAAGTGTATGATTTCATCCGTAACTGCGACTCTAAGCATGGGGTGGGAACAAGAGAGGGTAACTCAGTGTTTGGACACAGTTGCTGCTTGAAGTATGTAGGAGGTAGAAACTTATGGGTTCACTTCATTGTGTACTTGGTGACTTTTTATTTGGCAATTTTTAAATACAAGAAATGAATGTGGAAGCCAGCATGAGATTTTTGTTTCTAATGAGGCCCATGGAAGAGGACCGTGGGGAGTTGATCAGGGGAGGTGTCTGCCTCTGTCTCTAAGATAGTCCAGCCTGATAGTCCAGCCTGACTCCATCTTAAGGATGGAAGCCATTTTGTTAGAAGGTCAGAACAAGTTCATTTCCTTTGCTGTAAGATTCAAACTGACTGTGCACCTGCTTCTATAATTTGACATGCTTGCCATCATATGAAGTTTGACTCACACCTTGTATGTACCCCATAAGATGTTCTGTCAAATCATTTTAAAATATTCAGCCAAGTTCCTACATAACCAAAATTCTTCTGGAACCCCCTCCCACTCTTGAAAACTTCATAATCTTTCAGAGTTTTTAATTTTAATTTTATTAATTACAGTTTATTTACTTTGTATCCCAGCTGTAGCTCCCTCCCCTAACCCCTCCTTATCCCAGCCTCCCTCCTCCTTCTTCTCCTATGCCCTTCCCCCAGTCCACTGATAGGGGAGGTCCTCCTCCCCTTCCATCTGACCCTAGTCTATCAGGTCTCATCAAGACTGGCTTCTTTGTCTTCCTCTGTGGCCTGGTAAGGCTGCTTCCCCCTCAGGTGGAAGCAATCAAAGAGCCAGCCTATGAGTTCATATCAGAGACAGTCCCTGTTTCTATGATTAGGGAACCCTCTTGGACACTGAGCTGCCATAGGATACTTCTGTGCAGTTATCTAGGTTATCTCCATCCATGGTCCTTATTTGGAGTATGAGTCTCAGAAAAGATCCCTGTGCCCAGAGTTTTTGGTTCTGTTGCTCTCCTTGTGGAGCTCCTGTCTCCTCCAGGTCTTTCTATTGCCCCCTTCTTTCATAAGATTCCCTGCACTCAGCCCAAAGTTGGGCTATGTCAGGATATGTTTTGATACTCTGCTGGGTAGAGCTCTTCTTTCAGAGGCCCTCTGTGATAGGCTCCTGTTCTGTTCCTTGTTTTTTCCCTCTTCTGATGTCCATCTCATATGCCTTTCTGAATGAAGATTGAGCATCTTACCCAGGGTCTTCCTTCTTGATTAGCTTCCTTAGGTGTACAGATTTTAGTATGATTATCCTATATTATATGTCTAATTGTTTATATAAATCTTACCCTTTCTTATGTTTGATGCTATTTTTTTTAAAACCCCTCAGTTTAGAGAGCTAGCCCTGTCTGACAAAAAATAAAGCTTGCTGAACTTGACCAAAGATTTGGGGTAGTGGTCTTTACTCTCATTCAGTGGGATGAACAAAGGTACTCTGGGTCCCGAAGATGGTGAATTTGTTCTGCACACCAATTCCCCAACAATTTTGAAAGGAGGAAACTGTACTAAGAAAATGCTAATGTATGCCATCTGGAGAATTTCTTGTGCAAAAGAGACAATAAAAATTAAATTTATAACCACCCAGGTAGATGAAGAAAGCTATAATTCTAACACATGAAAGGAAATGAATGCTGATTAAAATATATCAAACTAAAAGGCAAGACCCATGGCTGATCTGGCCAGCAATATCCAGATGCCATGTCAAATCTCACCAGGTTGCCTATGGCCGTCTTCAGCCTGATTACTTACTTCAAAATGTTTCTCATGAGCAGATTGAAAGCATCTCTTGTTGACGCACAGAAGTTTTTGCCATATAATGCAATCTGAAGAAGATAATCCACACTTCTGTTAGCAGCATGAACCAACAACCCAGTGTTAGGGGATGTGGAAGTTCCCTGCCTTATTCCATACCAACAGCCCTTTCCTCTTTTCAACATTTGGGTTTGTGAGACTCCTAGGGTCTCTCTGTCCTTGACCCACATAACTCTCAAGGTCACTGACACAAGTGGCTTGCCGGGGCTGTGTGGGGTAGAGCTTTTCATCAATCTCAGATAAGGGATTCTGTCTTTGAAATATTTGTCTGTAGTAGGTGTTAAGTGGGCTGAATATTGTCATCATATTAAAAAATTACTCGTAAGGAATGCCAGTCCCTTCTTCTGGAAGGGTCTGCTGACTAGGAGGCTAGCACTGCGCTCCCACTGTAGGTAAATTAATTGCATCTTTGAGCATGGTAATGTGAAGCTCACCTCTGGCCCCCACCCCACGGTGATGATAAGCAAGCATTGCCACAGTGCAGCTTCTGCATCCTGAGAGAACTGCTCTCTGTCCTTTAGACACTTTCTCATTCTCACAGGAAACCAGTCAGAGATTTGCCCAAGTACTATCACTGCTCACTCTGCTTTAACACAAAGCTCATTAAAATGACTAATCTCGCCCTTAAAATTATGTAAATCCCTCTGTTAAAAACGGCATTTTCTTCTCTGAGGGAACAAAAGACAACAGCTTTCTTCTTACATAGTTATCAGACACACAGCACCATTTCAATCAATTGTACTTTTATTTTTATTACTTAAAAATACATTACATTTGTGTGTGTGTGTGTGTGTGTGTATGCATGCGCGATTATGTGTGTGTTCATATCTGTGTGTGCAGATAAGTGTACATGTGTGCAGATGTGTGTGTGCAGATGTGAGTGTGTAGATGTGTGTGTGTAGATGTGTGTATGCAGATGTGTGTGTGTAGATGTGTGTGTGTGCAGATGTGTGTGTGTAGATGTGTGTGTGCAGATGTGTATGTGTGTAGATGTGTGTGTGTGCAAGTGTGTGTGTAGATGTGTGTGTGCAGATGTATGTGTGTAGATGTGTGTGTATGTAAGTGTGTGTGTGTGCAGATGTGTCTACATGTGTGCAGATGTGTATGTGTGTAGATGTGTGCATGTATATGTGTGTATGTATGCTCATTTCCCAGCATGCTTATGGAAGTCAGGGAATAACCTGTGGGATTTGGCTCTCTCCTTCCCTCATGTGGGGGCCAGGGCTGACTCAGCTTGTCAGCAAGCACCCTTCCTCCCAGAGCCATCTTCTTGGCCTTCTAGCACACTTTTAAGTTTTCAACACAACTTTTCCCTTCCAATGAGAGAGCAAAGGTAAGAACAACCCAAGAAAAACGCAGCCCTGATTCACGCATGGGAGCCACACACTCGCATATCAGAGTGACAGACTCAATCCCGGGATACCAAGATGCTCTCCAGGCAAAGCAGGGAGCCATCATGGAAACTTACCATGATATAGGCATTTCTGTTTAAAAACTTCACCATCTTCTCCCAACACCAGAAGCAGCACTGCAGGCAGTGCCGCAGAAACCTGGCCACGCTGTTCTGAGCCTCTGTGGGAGGAGGGGAGTCCATTAACAACTGCCAGCCTTCACGCTCAAAACAATGACACCGGAAACAGGCTATAAGCTTCTTGGTGTGGTGTGTACCTAGCTGACATTAGCGAGTCTTCAGTATAAATTCTCGGGCCTTAACACATTGACAATGTTGTAAAATAATTTCACTGTCCGTTTTCAGAAGTTCTTACCAAATCAAATAGAAATCAATACCCAATCAAGAAAAATCACTTTTTCTGTTCCTGTCAAGCTTGCTCCCCCAGCTCATATTTTGCCTGCTGGCATAGGGCTGACTCCTCTAGAAATCTTAAGCAGAATGATACAAAGAGGACTCCTTTTTTCCCTGGTTTCTTTCACCTAGCATAACACCTTCAAAACTGACCACTCCTTTCTATGACACTAACATTCCAATCTAGGTATGTAGTGCTCTCCTTGTCCTGGCCGCAGTAGTGGACTTGTGAGTAGTTCACACCCCTTGGTGGGTGAATACTGTTGGCATGTACATGGGGCGGGGGAGCGATGTAGAAGTGGAATTTCTGGGTTGCTCTGAAATTGTGTTTTTCGCATTTCAGAAACCAGCCATTCCCACAGCGGCTATGCTGCGAAGCATCCGTATCAAAGGATCCAGCTTCCGTTCCGTATCAAAGGATCCAGCTTCCGTTCTATTCACACAGCTCTCCTCCAGCCCCATTTGCTGTGGTCTTTCTGATGACCATCCTAATGGGTGCTTCAGTCTGTGTGTCCCTGCCTAATGACACCGCCTTTTCCATCTTTGCAGACCAGTCTTGACCATAAGAGAGGTCTCCTCAACACCTTGGTCCGTCTTTGAACTTTCATTGTTTGCTATTGAGTGACAGAAGCTCTGTGTGTGCTGGACCGGAGTGTGCTCTCTGGCATATTATTTGCAACCATCTCTCCTCACTGTGTGGCTTGTCTCTTTGCTCTGCAGCTCCTTTGATGCAAAGTGTTTTTAATTTAATAAAGTCCAATTTGCTTTTTCTTTCTTTTTGTTTTTGGTGTGAAAATCAAGAAGTTGCCACCAAATCCAATGACATATTTATATTTTGTTTCTAAAAGTATTATAGCATTATCCATGTGCTTAGTTTTTGATGTGTTTTGGACTAATTTTGTATTTACTCTAAGTATGAGTCCAAGTGCACACATTTGAGTCTGGGCATCCCAGCTTTTCAGTCACCATTAAGCTGCGTGGTTTTCCCCGTCAAATGCTTTTAAATGTGAGAGTTCCTGTGTGCTGTGTGCATGCTGTTCCAGGTCTATCGGTCACTCAGTCCCCAGACCATCCTGTTTGATAGCCATCATTTTGTCTTAAATCAGAAAATCCAATCATGAAATGTGAGGCCTCCAGCTTCCTTTTCCACGTGATTCCCTTCTGTGGCACAGTGTAAGCCCATGTCTGTACTCCATGCCTACCACGCGTGAAGAATGGTGCCAGGGATGAAGGGTTATGCTCTAACCCTGGCTTGACCTAAACCGCAGACAGAAAACTGCACATGGAACCCTGCACTCCTCCACAGCAAGATGACAAGACAGCATTCTTCAGTTCCTTTTTAAATCTTGTTTCTCCTGACTTCTACATGAGCACACCTGATACTTTTTCTTCCTTCTCCATCATTCCCACCCTTCTTCTTGGTACAAGGACCTTCACAAGACCTGTTGGGCTGTGTTTCAAAATACATTCAAAACCCTGCCACTTCCATCTTTTCCACCCTGACCCTCATTAGCCACCAGGTCTTCCTATATCGCACACCCTCCCACTCTCATCACAGACGTCTGTGGTCAGTTCTAGAAGCTTACTTTGAAGTCGCCTGTCCAGGTATTGTGAGATCACTTTAAACATCTGAATGGATGCAAGAATCAAAGATCCAAAGGCTAGAGAACCTGTGTGGTACCTAGGTGAATACAAAACAGAATGGAAGGTCAGATGTTGTTCTGCATGTATGGGGTACCTCTGGAACAATTCCATGGGTCAAGGGGAGCCACAGAAATGAAAGGCTTCTTCTAATCTCTTATTCAGATTTATAGAGGTCTCCACAGAAGGTTTGAAACCAAGGGTCTTTCCGTGTAACCTATAATCTGTTCTCCTAAAAGAGGATTTGACTTGATCAGTGGGGACACAAGTTAATTCTTTTGGTATCCAAGTCTGTCCCCTCCCATCTCTGGTAACTTATGGGACTTAAGACAATGACTTGGGCAAACATTACAAACCAGAGGAGCAAAGAGCATCCATGAATCTCAAACTGTATTTTCAACTCGTTAGTATTTTGTCCATTGAACCCACCAGCCAAGAACGAATACCAGAGCACAGACTGTAACCGAGAAAGGGGGCCCAAGACTTAGCCCTGAGCTTACCGCACTGCTCGACCAAAGGCGGTGAAGAGTGGGTACTTCGGGATGTCCTCAGGTTTTCTCATGGCCCAGTAGTATGAAGCAAAGGCACCAGCCAGGGCACACTGACCCAGCGCAATGACAAAATTTATAAGCCAGAGGAAGGCAAAGAAGTTGTAGATCTGGAAGGTCATGATGTAATCATTGTACATACTCTCTCTGTCATAGAAAGCGAAGTTACATGATGCCCCAGGGCACACTTTGGGAATGTTCGTTCTGGGGAAAACCTGCACTCAGAAGAAAATAGGAAAAGATGCTATTAAATGTGCTCCTCATCTTTTCCTGTGGCCCCCAGCTGGATAGCCTATCACTTCTGGTTGTCACTTCTCTAACGTATTAATTTATAGAACCTTTAGTGAGTTCTGGGAGGTTTCATCCATCTGCACGTATTTTCTTCCTACTACACTTTTAAAAGCATTAGTGTTTTCCTTGTCCACACCAGCCTCTCAGGTTTACCACAGACAGCTGAGCCATATTATGCTTGCTGTTTTCAGTACTTTCCTGATAGCATTCTCTCATTCTTTCTGTACCTACTTCCCATGCGTGTATCAGCTTCATGACAAGGTATACCAGAATCATTTTACTCACCTCTGGGTCACAAGTTTCATTTTCATGCATACACTGCCCCTCTGGGACCATAACTTTGTATGTTGGTACCCCTGAAGTAGCCAAGAAGCTAAACAAACTTGATTAAGGATAAACTCTTTACTGTTAAATTGAAAATAAACAGATAAGAAAAACATAAAGATAATCTACAGCCTGTGAAAAAATGAGCTTGAAAGGTCTTTTCTTGCAATGCTTTAGCAATCATCCCCCTCAGAGGCCGCTATTGGGGCACCATGGCCCAGCTGCATGGAGAAGGCCCTGGGTTACACAGGACACTGTAGAGTTATAGCACTATACAGGGAGATCCAAGACTGTGTAGAGTCATCTTGTTATATAAGGTGACAGAGGACAGCTTACTGCCGAGAGGATGACCCGTCAGAACGGAGCAGAGCTCTGTGGCCTCTTTGGAGAAAAGTTAAATTTAATGGACAGAATTTAAGGCTTGGAGCCTAATCTGGTTACTTCTTCAGGCTGTTTCTAGTCTTCACAGGCGTGAAAAGCCCTGAATGCAAACTTCTGTTCCGAGTGGCAAGGTGGACTCCAGGGATACAAAACTCAGTTATCAAGTGAGAGGGAGGAAGATCAGGGAAGGAGAGTAGAGGGGTGCATATGAGCAAAGTGCAATCATATATATATATATACACATATACATACATACATGTGTATATACATGTGTATACATAGATATATGTGCATATACATGTGTACGCATATACACATGTGTATATACATATGTGAACATATACATATATGTGTATATACACGTAAGTACATATATCTATATATGCATATACATATATATAAAGTGTCATAATGAAACCCACTGTTTTGTACACTGACTTAAGAAGGTAACAGCAGAGGCTGCTTGTCAAAGGATACACAGCTGTCACAGCCCAGTAGGAAATGCAGATGGACAGCAAGACGAAAGTTAAAAATGGGTAGACTAGCGTGCTTGGGATGTAGCCAATGGCCCTGAAACGAAGCAAATACTTGATGCTCAGAATGAGTCTGGGTCAGGTGTGTGCTTTCTCAGGCATGAAATGCTTGTCCGTCAAGAACGAGAAGCAAGCCTCGGATTGATTCTGGCGATAGCAGTGATAGACACGGATCACTGTTCATGGTTGCAAACTCTGGGTGGCTTTGACATTCATTCACTAATTCAGTCATTTTAAAGGAAAGTGGGGAGTTTTCCAAGGCTGTGTTTGTCTCCTGTACAAGATTCCAGATTCCTCCTCTGACAGACCATAGTTCTGGGATGCCCTCCTATGCTGAGGTTCTTAGCTTCCTGAAGTGAGAAGACCTTGCTCGCCTTCTGATGAAGTGTGAGATTCCTTTCCTGACCCAGAAAAATGTGTGCTGCTCCAAACACAGCACCAGCCTCTGCTTCGGGTGGGCACGGGGGGGGGGGGTGCTACTTCTCCGTGATGGGGTTCCCTCCATCTTAACAAAGTGTCAGTCATGTCCTCCTCCCCTGCCTTCGGGCTTCTCACACACAGTGGCTGCTAAGTGGACTTGTGTTATCACTTCCACCACATAACTCTAAGTAACTTCCCACTTTTTACAAATACCTTTAAGTAACATTTTATTCTTTTTTTGAATTTCCCTCTAGGATGTTTCCCCATGGGACACTTTGAAAAACCTTCCTAGCTAGCTGTGTCACTAGCAGTCTTAGGCAGTGTCTCTGGATGGAAGACACTCTTGTCTGGCATGGCCAAGGAGAAATACCGAAGAAGCCCCCCATCAGCTGCAGTGGCACACGTCCGCGTGCTGGCCTGTCTCGCTGTGGAGCTCCGCCGTCCTCCCTTCCTGCATACTCTGAATTTAAGCTGCTAAGATTCCAAAAGTGTACTCTGAACTCTGACCCATTTATTCCAGCTCTTACCTCCCCGGGTAATCTACCAGCCTCTCCCAGTGATACTGCCCTTTAACCTTTAACAACAACAACAACAACAACACACACACACACACACACACACACGGTTGAAAGAAATGAGTTGAGTTACAGTGAACTACACAATAACCTACTCTTTAAGAAATAAATCCAGAAAATCAGTAGTTTCAAGGGATAATGATAGGGCCTCATTTATTGTAAGGGGAGAGTTTAACCAACAGCTTTTTCGCTGTTTAAACCACTGGCTTCGGGTGGCACTATTATAATAATATGGCAATTTTGTTAAAATAGTCCTTAAGGACAATTAAAAATCATTTGGTTCTTGGTAGTTAACAGTCTGTTTGCCCTGCTCCGTGCAGAGGGTCTGCTGGCGTCCCCGCAGTGTTTTCTCTGCTCCCTGTTCAGAAACTGACTGCACCCATTACTCTCCAGTGACCTTCTGGAATAGTTCTCAAACTACAGGTAGTGCTGAATTTCATGAAAGACAGTTTCTTTTGAAACATTTCAAAATGAGCATGGCCCTGGATATGAAGTGTGCCGAGTGGTGAGTTTTACACACAGGATGTACAGTCAGGCCCTCAAGCCCCAGCACTTTGTCCACGCGGAAGCCCAGTGTGCGCACACTGTGCAGACGTGTACCACAGAATTACGGTGATTCGGAGCTGTGGCAGTTCTCTCGGTCAGCAGCATTAACGCAGGAGCCACCGCACAGCGCCCTGACCTGGGCACCGCCGACCCCATGCACAGCTCCCCCATACACTACTTCACAGCTTACCATCTCCAGACACACACACATTCCTCCCTGCACGGAGTCTGTGCCAGCTGGCAGCAGGGCTTGGGAGACAGGGGGCTCGCTAGAGTGACCCTGACCTGTCCCACATCAGAACTTGGACAAGCATTCTTCAGTCTCTTCCTTGAAATGTCGGGGGGGGGGCAGTGCAGGGAACGGCTCGCCTGCTGAAGGGCTTGTTGCGCCGCCTCGCAGGCCCCGAGTTAGATCCCTGGCACCCACTTAAGGGGCTGGCATGGCATGGCGGTGCACACCTGTAGTCCCAATGCTGAGGAGGCAGGGACAGAGGAAGCCAGAGCACACAAGCTAGGAAGTCTAGCTGAAGCGCTGACATACAGGCTCCTCTCTCAGAACTAAAGTGGATACCATTAAGTTAGATATGCAGTGTCAGCTCTGGCCTCCACGCTCATATGCATACACATGTTCACACACAGGCTCCAGCGCACACTCACACATGTACACACACACACATGTACACACACACTCACACATGTACACACACTCACGCACGCACACACACAGCCTGGCATCTGCCATCAGCACCAGCTGAGCCCCTTACTTGCTTCCTTCCTTCAGCAGGATGATGGCCAAGTGGATCCGCCTCCGGAGGAAGATTACCACGATGATGATGATGGCTTCGATGACGGATAAGATGATCACTAAACAAGAAAAGACGTCAGTCTGCAGTGCCTGTCAGCGCCAGAGCCCAGATCCTCCTGCAGGGCTGGGGCTGAGTACCAGGTCATTCCTGACAGCACTGACTTCATCACTTAAGCTCTGCCCCCAAGCCCACGTGCCAGTCCTAGAAGCTCACTTTCACCCCTGCAAGAAGTGCTAACTGTACAAAGCAGAACCTTTGCTGGGTTTGGAGTCACTAAGAGCTGGCTCCATCTTACCCATGGAAACATTTCTCATGAATCACGATGCTGGGAAAAGAGGTGAAGAAGGAAGGGAGGAAGGGAGGGAGGGAGGGAGGGAGGAAGGCCTCCCTTGGTACTAAGTAAGAAACTGTTAGAGAAGCCAGTTTCTTAGGTGGCCAGTGCTGACTGCGACACTTTTATTCTGTCCCCTTCCCACCATAGACACTGTTAATAGAACGGAGGTGTAAATCTGAGGAGACATGAGCAGTAATGTCTTAGAATCAAAATGGAGGGTGCAGGGCGCAGCTCAGTTGGTAGAGTGTCTTGCCTATCAAGCACGCACTCCAGGTGTGATCTCCAGCGCTGTGTAAATTTGGAACAGGCCACCAGAACTCAGGAAGTAGAGATAGAGGGTCAGAAGATCAAGATTTTTCTGAGATTATAATTAACATAGGCTAAAAGCTGTTACGTGAAGAAAATAAATGCTGAGGAATAAAATGAAATAAGAAATGAGGCTATAAAGTGAGGACATCTTGTGTCATGTATCTCACTATTTGGGGTTTCCTGGGTACAAGCAAAGGTGGGAAGTCTGGGCGTCTCTTTGCCTCCCTGAGTTGGGTGAGCCAGAGCATATCCTTCCGGACACCTCCTGCACCTTTTATATTATCTGGTAGCCAAATCTGTTTTTAAAAAATCTTGAAGCCAAAAATTCTTGTTGTCCACCCCAGCTCTAACACACACCTTTAAGTTACTAACAGGGGTTTGAGAGGATGCCGGTAAGCCCTTCCTTTTTCAAATAACTAATCAATGATTGTAAGATGCAGTGGAGTTTTGGAGATGTTAAGAAATAGAAAGTTTGGGATCCTAAGATCAGGAAAATGTGGTACTGCTAACAGACCATATGAAACAAACTCTTTGGGAAGTTGGGAGCCCAATGCTGGAAGGTTCTCTTCCTGGATTGGACTGCTAGATGGCTGCTTTGCTCATGGTGAGCACGTCCAGTGATGGAGCGCTCCTGACCTCACTCAGTGGTTCCAGCACCATGATTCTGGTTGCACATTGCCCTGTAGGAAGCACTCCGTGTCTACAGAGATCAGTGAACGCCAAGCCAGGGGGACTGCATAACGAATCATCATGCACCCTTGTCTCCCCAGCTAAACAATGCGTTTATTTTTATAGGCATAGTTCACTCTCTTAAAACACTAATTTGCGTCAAAATGGTAGGGTATACTCATATGCTAAAGTTATTTTCCTTGTGCAAACCTAAGAAAATAAAATATAACTATATTCTGAAACTGTATTTCCAGAGAATTTGTATATTAGACTTATACATTTATATAAGGGCATGAAGTTTGATTGTCTTTTGAATTGATGCACTCTATTCTCTGCTTGTGAGTAAGGGCACATAGGAGAAACATATTTACTATAAAGCAGACACTATAACAAACCAAAGAGGAGACTCAGGCCTGGGGATAAGAAACTTATCCAAGGCCGAAGATGGAGCTAACAACAAAAGTAGGAAGAGAGCTATTACCTATCACAACCCAGGGCTTATAAAATAGTTATGTTTAGATTTCTTACTCCACTTGCTTCCAGGCTTTTTCTGAAGCAGCATAGTTTAACATGTATGTCCTTGTTCCTAGTATCCCAATTTTTTTCTCAACACAGCTCAGGTATCCATCAGTGTTAGCTAAATAGATGGGACGCTATGGTGCACTCCAGAAGAGAGTGGGATTACCAGGATTCTAAACAGTTTTAAATGTTTAGAAAGTTCTGTGCTTCCCAGAGACATACGTGTTAACTTTGCAGGAGCAGGAACCAGCCACTCTGCTCCTCAGAGAGAGTGCTCAGCATGAGCATGTGTGCTTAGCCCCCCAACCCCTAGTGGCCTGAAGGTTTCAATGAATCCTGGGCAGCAGGAAAGGACCAGCAATGGTGTGTGGATGCCTGGGGCTTGAGGGGGTCAGGGTCACTCAAATCCCAGAAAACTAAAGAGAATGCAAGTCCACTTTTTTGTAGGTAAAAATAAAAGCTATAACATACATAGTTGAAAAAGATAAAGAAAGCAGAGAGAACAAGTCCTGGTGAGGGCTGGGTGTAGGGAGGTGAAATCCAAGACTTCGGCCCCTCCATCAAGCCTGAGTAGGGAGAGCAGAGGAGCCGGATCTCCCAGATGCAGCACGTGGTGGAGACGTGTGACCCAGGAGCTTACAACGTCTCACTTGGAGCAGAGAAGATGGCCTCTTTGCTCAAAATGCTTCCTACGGGCAACCTTGCCCACTCCACTCTGACTCAGGACCGTACCGTGGCATTGCAAGTAAAACCTGGGCACACGGAGAGCCACGCTGCCATCGCTGGGGGGCATATCCTTACCCGCTGCTGAATGCCCAGTTTCTTGGATGAGGAGGCAGAGCTGGGTTTGGACAGGGTGGAGTGGGCCCATGTTGGGAGTAACGGTGTGTGCTCAGGATGTGCCCACACAGCTGCCCCTACTCCCTCCTGAGCTCGTCTGACATGTAAAGGCCAATGTGAATGATAGGAAAGGGAAATTCTAACAACAAAACCCAATGAGAAATTGTCAAAACCCAGATTCACAGACATGAATGTCCAATCACAAAAACACAAGACTGAAGCCATCTTTGAAATGAACTTGCTTCAGAAATTACTGCCAACTCTAGCTCAATAAGTCTATTTTCAGTTATTTGTCAGAATTTATGCAGTAAATAAACTGATTTTTTTATGAGCAAAGCAAGCATCTTATCTTCTTTCTCTTAAGGAAAGTTCGCAAAAATCAGTCATTTATTTCTTTCATAAATTAACATCAGCGATGCCCACAATCAAGCCATTTTCAGCTAGTAGAAAGCGGCCTGAGACTCTTCTAAAGTAGTGTTATCCTCGGTTACACAATAAATTCACAGCAACTCCCCATTTACTGTAGCTCGAAGACATTTACAGCATCACCGAGTGATGAATGAGATGGCAGGATGATCCAAGCTTTCTTTTGAACACACAAGGCTTCCTCATGGTTATCACATTAACAAAACTGGCTCTTAAAACCTACTCACTCATTGAGAACCAGGTCTGCTTCCAGTGAAAGAACAGGCTTATGCTGGTCTGAATCCCGAGTTCATATAACATGATGGTTGACTGTGGCTTCCACTGAAGGCTGTTGTATTCCAGAAAACAGTACCATATGCCTTGAAAGGAAGAGAAAAGACCAATATACAATGTTATTTTCTGAAGTAGAAGCTACATGCCTATCAAACGCACCTACATAAAAATGATCAATATGGCCATTTATAAAGCGTTAACTGCAATAATTTAACTGTGGTGCTGTGACTGACATGAATGCTTTCTGGGCTTATGAGCTTTGCCGTGTACTTCTGGCTTGTAGCAATGCTGACACCCACTACGGTGCTGTTCTAATATGCTGCAGCACATCTTGCCAGGAAAATGCACTGATCCCCCTCACTTATACTCAGGACGAACTTATTGGCGTATTTATCTTGTGTAAGGAAGATAAATCTTTGGAGTATCTTAATAGATGCATTCAAGTTTGGAATTGATTTTGTTTTAGGGTGTTGGGCTGATTCTGCTCCTAATAGAGTTATTTCAAATTATATTTTGTCTGATAGCATTATAGCTACTATAGGCTTCTTTTCATAACTTCTAGGTTTTTAAAATTATTTTTCACTTTTAACTGTTGTGTTTTCTCATACATTCTGTAAAGTCTGTAAATAACAAGCAATTCCAACTTGGATGTGTACATTTTCTTCTGATTTGACAATTTTTTCTGTTTATTTTTATTTCCATATATTCTTTTTATTCTACTTCACTGCCATCTACTCTATTTTTATAACCACTCTTGAAATTTACCACATGCTGAGTAATCAAGTTCAAAGTGAATATTTAACAAGAAAATGCAAGGTCCTTGGTCACTTGGTCAATGTTACTCTTTTCTGTAGGCAAAGTTTACTTCACTTATCTACTGCTTGCCAGATCATTTCTTTGCTCATGGTTCTTCATCAGTCTCATTGGTATATGGAATCATTTTCCTTTCCTCTCTCTGTTCATTGGGAAACACACTGGGTCACACACACAACCATGTCCACTTCTGCCCCCCTGGCCAGGGATTGCTGCATTCTGGCACATGGACTATCCTAGTGGCCTCTCAGCTGGGCTCATTGTCCAACTTACTTTTTATTCTGACAATTGTTATATTTGGGGAAATTTCATTTGGTTTATCTCAACATATGTGCAGGCACCTCTGCTGCTGAATTAGTGCACTTGCCCCGTTGGCATCCAAGTTTCTGTCAAACACAACATCTGGGTCTCTTTCAGGGTCCTAGGCTAGACGAGGGTCACAAGTCTCCAGGGCATCTGCCGCCTGTTCATCTTGATGAATCCTTCATTATTACGTGCATGCACACGACACACACACATACACACACACTCAATGTCTAGCTTTTTAATCCACTCACTGTGACATATCCACATTGTTTTATGCTTTAGAAAATTTGTACTATCACTTAGAATGTTTGGTTTTCCATGACAGTACATAACCAACTGTCCAAGACAGTCACAGAGGCCAGCCATATCCAGTCTCATTTACTTATAGTTCACAACCTAATTGGACACTCCCTCATGTGAATAGCTTCAAGCTTAATTGCCATGCAGTTAGGCGGTTAGCACTACCTAGGGAGCCAAGAGGCGACCCAGACAATGGTTTTATTTTCACTTTGTGTCTGTTGCCCATCTCTCCATTTGCAGTGTGTCAAGGCTGCTACAGCACAATCTCAGATCTCTCCCTGCTTAAGACAGGTCAGTGAAGTCAATGGCAGGCTTTATCATCCTTCCTGCCTTGATGGCAGAGAGAGAGAGAGATTGGATCACACGTCTAGACTCTCCAGTGTCAAATCCAGGTAGGAACACACAAAAAGGTGAGGAGATGACAGCTTGGGGATAGCAGTTTCCAGGCTCCCCCACCAGACTGACCCTTGCTCTTTCCTGGCTGTGCTTTGGAGGAAGCACAGGTGAGACAGATGGGCAGGAGCACAGCAGGGCAGAGGAGCCCGAGGAGGCTCACACTGCTTACTAGAAGCCATCAAGGCTAACGACAACAATGATCCTTTACTATGTGTAGACTCGGTTCTGACAGCCTGAGATCCACATTTGACCCCTCCTATCTTCTGAGACGGAGAGCTCATCACTGGACTGATGTTACAGATGTAGGAGCTAGGTCTTGTAAAGCTAAGAAAGGTTTCCATGGTTACTCAGTTACACTGAGCTGAGCTATAGCCAAGGCTACGTACTGACCGTGAGCCTGCATATACCATATGCAAACCTGTTTAAGCAGCAGCAACAGGAGCTGATTGTATTTTGTGTCTACTGCTGGAAAAACTATGCTGCTAATCTAACTTGTGTTGTGGGGGAAAACATTCTTTTGAATGTAAATTGCTCTACATTGTCCCATATGCCTTTTAGCAGGCCAAAAGCAAATGTCCATAATGTTATACCACCCAGTGGGAGGCACTCGGATTCCTTTATTTAGTGTTCACATCAGGCGTGATGTGCACAGCTTGGAAAATTGAATTGAACACTTCATCCAATGAGTGTGATGTGTGTGCTTGCCTAGAGAGTGATGCTTCACTATAGGAACCGACTACGAAAAAGGGAGACAGAGCCTGATTAAAAGTACTATTGAGACTGATGAGAAAAATAGATCAAGCTCCACAGCTGTGCACACCTGGCTTGTGACTCATAGAGAAATTACAGGGGGAAGGCTAACTGTTTGAATTTCATTATCCTAAACAGATCCTTTCTGCTCCTTCCCAATCCTCTAAGGCCCAAGACCAAAGGCTGCTAGGGATGGTAGTAGATTTTCCTCATGGAATTTTTCTCAAGATAATGAGAAAAAGAGTTCTAAAGAAAATAAGCATGAAATTAAATACATTTTGTAAAATTAATGATCCTAACTAACTCAGCCTGTAGCAAGTAAATACTTTCCAGTAATTGCTAATGACAAGGAAAAAGTTATTCTGATATTTGGCAATTTTAAGAGGTAAGTCACCTACCATATCCTATAATTCCAAGCACACCAAACATGAAGACCCAGAAGATGAATCCAGCTGTGAACCTCAGGAGTATCAAAAAAATCCAGCTCAGTGCCATGGCGATAGTCAGACCACTAGAGGAAAACCGACAACAGACAGAGTCAGGTTGCTACATGCACCATAACAGAATGGAGTGGGCACAGGTTTAATGTGTGTTGAATGAAGTATGTCCAAAAAAGCAGAAAACCCCAAAAGCATAAGAATTAAAGAAAATCTTAGTGACATTTGTTTGTGACAGAAAAAAGCCCATTTAACTACTGCCACATGCAGGCTGCAACCTCGAATATGGAGTTATTGCAAGCAGAACAAGAAATTAGTAAAAATTTACAAAAGGATCTAGCTGTACCCTGTGAAAATTATTCTTTATTATTTCTCTCACAATACAGTGTTAAATTGCTCAAATTCCCTGTGGTTGAAGACATGCTATCTAGCTTGTTCCAGTCATTCCTATAACTGCCTCTGAACTCACATTTCTGTGTATCTCCTATGATTTAGGAACTATGCTGCTAGCTATGAAGATAAAGATGAGTTAGTCATAGTTGCCATGCTATGGAGTTGATAGTTTAGCTGGGTATGGTAGCCCATGACCCTAATCCTAGCATGTGAAAGGGAGAGGTGGAAAGGTCACAAGTGTAAGACCAATCTTCTCAGTTTAAGTAGGAAAGTTCAAGGCCAACTTTGGCAATAGAAAACACAGTTTCAAAAAAAAAAACGAAAAAGAAAACAGCTGTCAGTTTATCATAGGAAAGAACCAGTTAAATAAAATATAGAATGAAAGATATTATACAGAAAATAAGCAGCTATGTATGTATAAGAAGGTGTGCAAAGACACAACATATATGAGGAAAACAGAGAGGAGATTAATTCACCTAGGAAAAATAACAGAAGTTTCATAAGTGTCACTAAACTTGTTTTAAGGATGAGGAGCTGGAGATGTAGCTCTGTGGAAGGAACCTGCCAGGCAGACACAAAGCCCCTGCCTGGATTTCCAGCACTCAACTAAATAAAAATGGCAAAGTGGAGTAACCCTGGACTCTGAGGATATGGGGAGGAAGGAAAAGCCACAAGATGCACGAAGACAGGATTTCACAGTCATAGCATCACAGATTATTAGATACATTACCACTATATAATCAGGTGTCTCTCATGCCAGCATCCCAGCACCTGGAAGGCTGAAACTGGGGGATGAAAGTTCAAGGCCACCTCCATGGTTACAAAACAAGACCAAAGTCTACTAGACTTCAGAAAGATCTATTTTTATTTGTGTGTGTGTGTGTGTGTGTGTGTGTGTGTGTATCTATCTATCTGTCTATGCATGTGCATGTCTGTGTGTGTGCAGGTGCATGTGTATCTGTCTGTCTCTGTGTGTGTGTGTGTGTGCATTTGTCAGTCAGTCAGTCAGCCAGCCAGTTAGTCAGTAAGTCAGTCTGTCTGTCTGTGTACAGGTACCCACAAAGCCTGGAAGAAAGCACCAGATCTTTGAGGCTGGAGATACAGGCAGTTGTTAGGCGTTCAATGTGAACTGAACTATGAGTTTCTGCAGGAGCAGCAAGTGCTCTAACCACTGTGACGTCTCTTTACCCACCAAGAACGTGTCTTAAAATGCAAGGCTGCCTGAGAAAGAGATGGAAGTGTGCATCAAAAGCTGATGTGGCTATAAAACACCATGGAGTTGCCAACAGAGCATTAACATTTTCTCTGGTCATGAGGGAGTTTCTCACAGAAACAAAGAAGTTTCTCAGCTCTGGAAAGTAGCACAAAGGCAGAGAGCACAGACTTAAATACACGAGACACACTTGCCTGTGTCAGGACAGCGACCCCATTTAACTTTCCCAAATAAACAACCTTATGTCTGGAAATACAAATCTCCACTTTCCTATGTGTTTTAAGTTTCCCAGAACTTGAATGGCCTTTAATGGTAATGATTATCATGTGTGAAGAACACAGTAAAAATTACAAATGATCCTTTGGGGTGAAGGGAGGGACATAGGAGGAGAAAGAACCAGAGAAGTCAAACTATGCCCACCCTCTGTGACATGTGGTGTGAGCAGAACACAGGAGCCCAGAAACTGTGCCAGGGACTTGGCTTGCACACTAATTTTACTACTAAGTTAATATAGAAATTGAAACTTAGATTCTTTGGGGCATATTTTCAAACATCTTCACCCAGTCCTTACCGCATTGTAAAAAAAAAAAAATTATCCTGAGGTCTGAGTCCACTTTTCATAAGTGTACTTTAGTAAGAACAAGGACATTGAGGAGGTTACAGAGGTCATCAGAAAGGGGCTAGAGAAGAAATAGAGTGTCACTCACAGGAGAATCCATTTCCATGTGGTCACATAGTCTTCAAATACCTTCAGCCCGATCACCCTGGCATCGAGGATCTTACTGATGTCACTGTGGTCAATGAAGGGAAAGTTTATTTTTGGTTAATTATTATTTTTGGTTAGTATTGGAAAAATGTTCTTATAATAAAAAGGACTTTGCAAGACTTCCATTCAAAGTGTGCGTTTAGGCAGCAACTGTAGCAGTGGCTCTTACTAGCCACAACAATCTACTGAATGTCACTTCAGGACGCCTCAGAGTGACATGTGTCTTTTATCAAAGCACATATGTAATTTCCGGTAGCCCTGAATGCTACTTTAATATTGTGGTTAACAACAGAATGCATCAAAACTGAAAATAGGAATGTAAACATACCTTGCAACTTTGCTTAGGTCTATGACAGTTAGGCTACTCCCCGTTCCGTCTTGGAAATCTGTCCTTTGTCCTATAGTTAAGGAACCATTGACGGTTGAGAAGTCAGGCAGACATCTCTGCAGGACTGTAAAAGAGAATAAGAACTACAGGAAACACATTTTGTTTGTTTGTTTACTACTCTCTCCTTTTAAAAACATTGTGTTATCTACAGGAAAGTTCTTGCTGGGCATTGATTGGCTCAGTAGAGAGAGCTACTTGCCATTTACTGACAACTTCAGGATTTTCTGGCAGCTGAGAGACTGGAATGGAAATAGCAACATCATCTGAAGCCACATCCCCGCCTGCCGGTTTCTTGCATACGAAAGATTCATCAAACTGCACAAATAAGATGTGCAGGCTGCGCACATAGGCTCATGCCACATATGCTAAATACACTTTAATAGAAAAGCCACAGTGGGCCTCTGAAAGACCTAGCAGCGTATCAAAGCAGAGGCTGAGAATCATAACCAAATCTTGGGCAGAATGCAAGGAACCATAAGAAAGAAGGGGAAGTTAGTAAGATCTGGAGAAGATAGGAGCTCCACAAGGAGCTCCTATAT